TTTATTTTTATCCCATCTTTATTATTTTTATAAATAAATATCTAAATATTTGTGCCATATTGTTAGGAGGACTGTGTTGATTAGATATTTATTTATAAAAATAATAAAGATGGGATAAAAATAAATAAATATGCATTGTGAGATAGCTATAAATAAAACTAATTTCATTCCCCATCCTGGATTTTTCTTACTGTTTTTAAAGGAAATCATTTTATTTTATTCATTTTAAATTCATTTTAAATTGTAACAATATAAATCATGGAAAAGGGGCTGCAACTCAGCAAATGAGCTCTATTACCTTAAAAAGGATTCTAGTTCAGACCTCAGATTGGAAAGGCCTTCTGTCTGAATACTGTTAAACACAACTAATTACTCATTTTAATCAACACAGAGATTATTGATCTGATTTGCTATACTGAATTTTCCTGTAATCAACTTGAACTGTAATAGTCTGCAAGTTGAAACAGTAACTCTAGAATTACCAATGTTCAATGAAAGCCTGAATAACAAACTGAAGTGATTGCTTTCATTTTCAGTCATAAATTCAGCTTTTGACATTGCCATAGGTTAAATCTCTGAAATTCGATTCAAAGGTCTAGAAAAGATCAGAGACCCCCAACCAGCTGTTACCACTTCAAATTGTATCATGTGAATTAAACACTTTGTCTTCTGAGTTTTATGAACCGCATGTGCGAGGCAAAATAGTCCAAAAATATTGTCTAGTTAGGCAACAGCTATTTTTCTTACTTTCCCCTGTTCCAAAAATTGATCTTAAGAACATTCCTTAAGGGATTACTTAAAGGAGAGAAGCCTAATTTAAGCAACCAGAGCCAAGGTGGTGCAGAGGTTAGAGTGCAATACTGCAGGCTACTTCAGCTGACTGCTAGCTGCAGTTCAGCAGTTCAAATCTCACTCGCTCAAGGTTGACTCAGCCTTCCATCCTTCCGAGGTGGTAAAATGAGGAGCCACATTGTTGGGGGCAAAATGCTGACTCTGTAAACCGCTTAGAGATGGCTGTAAAAGCACTATGAAGCAGTATATAAATCTTAAATGCTATCGCTATTGCTAATCTTAACCCATAACCACCACTACAACAATGTAATCTCAGGGCTGGTAGATTAGAGGACATTTTGGGTTAATGAGGAGATTGAAATCAAATTTCTAGATTAACAGTAACAAAATTTTGCTGGTAACTCGGTGTTTACTAATTCCCTTCCCCTAATTCTTTCTTTTAGGGTAACTTGTATGAATTTCTGAAACTGACTGGTTGGCGAGGTTCCAAAGTCTTATATTTTGGTGATCATATTTACAGTGATCTAGCTGTAAGTACGTTCTTCCCTATGTGTGTGTGTGTGTATTTAATGAAGCTGGTGTGATCCAGAAGAGTGAGCTATGTATTATGAAATTAATTAAAGTAGAGGACTACTTCAAAAATAAGAAAGGGCAAAGCACCACATTTCTGCAATAAAAGTTGGGAAAAGTCATGAGTAGGATTAATCTGGTCTTCAGAAAAAAACACAAGGCTCTTACCTTATTGCTATGTATATTTTCTGAATTTGTTTTATACAGCTTTCAGCAGCCTGTTTCTTCCTAGTAGCAAACATTCTGCAATAATAATTGAAATAGAACTCAGAGTTCCAAATTTATAACCTTCCTTGCAGCTGCCAGTACAGATTATACTGTTTTTATATTGTTAGAAATTGCTAACCAACCTGTTGCAAGAGAAAAATATCTCTCTGATTTATTTAATCCAGGTCCTGTTAATATTTTACCATTTTCTGATCTTAAACTCCTTTCTCTTAATTTACTCACCCTTTTTGCTTCTGACCAAACAATATCTGATCAATTGTGCCTTATTTATTTACCCCTTGCCCTTAAGCCTGGTTTAGAATGGGTTTGTTCTATACTTTTAATTATTGCATGATGATATAACTTAAGATGCATTTACGTAAAAGTATAGATATCTTCGGATAGCATCTAACCTGAAAGAATATAAAGTAAGCTCTAAATGAAATTAGCACAAATGCTTTTCTTTTCTTTTTTCTTTTGTGTGATCATGGTTGGCAAAAAAGGATTTGACCTTAAAACACGGCTGGCGTACAGGGGCAATTATTCCAGAATTACGAAGAGAGATTAAGATCATGAATACAGAGCAATACATTCAGACTATGACTTGGCTGCAAACCCTCACTGGATTACTGGAACACATGCAGGTTTGTTCTTTAATTTTTTTCATTCTTCTCATCCCCACCCCATTCATATCTCAGAGGCTGCCACGAAGAAGAGGGAGTCAAGCTATTCTCCAAAGCACCTGAGGTTAGGACAAGAAGCAATGGGTGGAAACAAATCAAGGAGAGAAGCAACTTAGAATTGAGGAGAAATTTTCTGACAGTGAGAACAATTAACCGGTGGAACAATTTGCCTCCAGAAGTTGTGAATGCTCCAACACTGGAAATTTTTAAGAAGAGTTTGGATAAACATTTGTCTGAAGTGGTGTAGAGTTTCCTGCCTAAGCAGACGATTGGACTAGAAGACTTCCAAGGTCCTTTCCAACTCTGTTACTCTATTCCAAAAATCCATGATTGATTGCATTTGAAACTCCATTTTTTTCCATTGCTATTATTGCAAATAAAAATGCACAATATAAAAACCATCAGAATTGATGCATGTAAACTCTAGATGGGATAGAGAGGAGATTAACCTCTTGTTTCCAGTTCTCTGGCCACTTAATAATTAGAGGGACCTTTATCTAATGCTTTTTTTGCCCTGGTCATGATAATGCAGTTCAAGTTATTATGTGAAATCACAGTGCTGGTATTAAAATTCAAACATATGTTTATATTGCTTTCAATGTATGCTGGTGATATGGCTATTTTGTGTTTCTTGTTCAATCTGTCCTGCCCATCTGTTATTTTTATAAATGTGTCCAAATATAATCTATTTTAAAACTCACAAATTTGTATCATTTATGTCATGTCATTTCAGATTCACAAGAATCCTGATTGCCAAATGATATTAAATGAATGGAAAAAGGAAAGAAAGGAAATGCGGTAAATATTGAAATTGGATATTTGTGTATAAGTTTATCAAAGGTTAAGATGAACTCAATTTTTGGGGTTATTTCTGTGTTATTTCTGTGTCATCTGTGAGCATAAAAGGTACTTATTCTAAGCCAGTGTTTCTCAACCTTGGTGACTTTAAGTCCTGTGGACTTCAACTCCCAGAATCCCCCAGCCTGGCTGGGGAATTCTGGGAGTTGAAGCCAATGGGACTTAAAGTCGCCAAGGTTGAGAAACACTGTTCTAAGCTTTTATAAAATGACCTGATTAATTCGTAATAAAATAAAACTAGTCCTTACTTGCTTCATTTTCCTCATAACATTGTTAATAGTAATAATTAATGCACAGGAAATTCAGCTTTAAGTTTTAAGTTTCTAATCCACCTTTAACTATGGAATTTACTAAATTATTTTGGTCCTGCTCTGTTAGCCTAAACTTCAGAGGATGATGGTTGTTGGGGATAAATGAGAGATCCCATGTATTCTACATTGAATTCCCATGCATAGGTGTGGCACAAATACAAATATGGTAAAAGTATATATTTTTCCCTCCTTTCTTGAGCGGCCTTACCTCAGTGGACAGTTTTGATTTTGAGGTTTTGTTGATATAAGAACAAATCTGTTCTTATAAACATACTAAATATCTCTGGTCCAAAAGAAGTCTTTCCTGGTATGTCTATGGAGATTTTCAATCAACCAATTCATGGTTGTCCCAAAGATACTTTTTCAAAAGGCAACTGGAATTTCTTGGTATTTTTCCTCGAAAACATTTTCCTGAAGAAGCTTCTTGGATAAGAAGTGAAACGTTTTCAAGGAAAAGCCCAAAGAAAGTCCGGTTGCCTTGTGAAAAAGCATATTTGGAATACTAACTGTTTTTTTCTCTCTTTTCCTCTCTCATCAGAGAAACGACCAGAGATTTCTTCAACTCTCAGTTTGGAAGCTTATTCAGGACCGACCAAAACCCCACCTATTTCTTAAGGCGCTTGTCTCGTTTTGCCGATATCTACATGGCATCGTTGAGTTGCCTGTTGAACTATGACCATGATTATACGTTCTATCCACGAAGAACTCCTTTGCAGCATGAACTTCCAATGTGGTCTGACCAGTTGTGCACGGGTACATTCAGAATACCATTTCTTCAGCAGATGATTCAGATCAAATAACCTCCCTGACTCCCAGGGTTGCTTTTTTTTGTAATGCAATTGTTACCATATTACTACGCAGTGGCTTTTTTAAGGATATTTATTGTAAGAGCAACTTTCTCTATAGTAATTGGTTCTTGCCGTACATGCTATGGAGAAAATGTGTCTATTCAGCTGCTCTCTTTATTTTTTTCTAGTGAGAATCAATAAGAACTATGGTTGCACTAAGAACGGATTCTTTCCTCCAGTTGGAAGAGGGAATGGAAAATTATTTGCACATAAATTTACATACAGCCCATAATATTTGTCTTATGCAGTCTAACCAGAGGTGGTATTCAGCCAGTTCTGATAGGTTCTAAAGAACCAGCAGTGGAAATTTTGAGTAGTTCGGAGAACCGGCAAATAGGCTGGTCCCACCCCCGCTGACTCCCAGCCTCCCAGCTGATCTTTTGTTGCCCTGAACAGGAGAATGGAGCTGGAAAGCAGGTTAGTGGGGTGGGGAGGGAATGGGGATTTTGCAGTATCCTTTCCCTGCCACGTCCACAAAGCCACGCCCACAGAACCAGTAGTAAAACTTTTTGAATCCTACCACTGATTCTAACCCATGGGTGTCAAACTCATGTTGTCATTGTGGCGTCACATGATGTATTGGGACTTTCCCACCCTTCGCTGAACTGGATGTGGCCAGCGCATGATGCATCTAGCCCATGGGCTGGGAGTTTTGACAGCCCTCTTCTAACCAAAGATCATTACTTGAAATTTGGGCATGATTTAAATATTTATTCAGCTAAAGGCTCAGCTGCTATTATACTTTATAAGGAATGTAAAATCTCGTCAAGGTTTCAAATCCATGCAGAGCTGGATAACTTATTTTTTTAATCAGAATATTAGAAAATAATTTTTAGTGGAACTCAGCCATTCCCCCCCCCCACAGACGTATTTTCCATAGACAGCCAGGAAAAGCTGTAAGTAGAATACAATATTGCATTGCTTGCATTGAACCAATCAAAGCTTTCATTATAGAGATTTCCAGCGAATGAAAATTGACAGGACTGTTACTAAAATTCGCAGTAGAAACACTACAATAGCACCACAAGTGTAGAAACAGGACAATACATCTACTAAAGTATGTTCAGTGTGAACATTTTAATAATATAACAGCTCTGTATGAAGAAGATAGGTATACAGGTGAGACTCCAAAAATTAGAATATCGTGCAAAAGTTCATTTATTTCAGTAATGCAACGTAAAAGGTGAAACTAATATGTGAGATAGACTCATTATGTGCAAAGCAAGATAGTTCAAGCCATGATTTGTCATAATAGTGATGTTTATGGCTTACAGCTCATAAAAACCCCAAATCCACAATCTCAGAAAATTAGAATATTAGGGAAATGTGCAATATTCTAGGCTCAAAGTGTCTTACTCTAATCAGTTAATTAAGCTATAACACCTGCAAAGGGTTCCTGAGCCTTTAAATGGTCTCTCAGTCTGGTTCAGTAGGAATTACAATCATGGGAAAGACTGCTGACCTGACAGTTGTGCAGAAAACCATCATTGACACCCTTCATAAGGAGGGAAAGCCTCAAAAGGTAATTGCAAAAGAAGTTGGATGTTCCCAAAGTGCTGTATCAAAGCACATTAATAGAAAGTTATGTGGATGGGAAAAGTGTGAAGAAAAAGGTGCACAAGCAGCAGGGATGATCTTAGCCTGGAGAGGATTGTCAGGAAAAGGCCATTCAAAAGTGTTGGGGACTTTCACAAGGAGTGGACTGAGGCTGGAGTCAGTGTATCAAGAGCCACCACACACAGATTTATCCTGGATGTGAGCTTTGAATGTTGTATTCCTCTTGTCAAGCCGCTCCTGAAAAACATCAGAAGCTTCTTACCTGGGCTAAAGAAAAACAGACCTGGTCTGTTGCTCAGTGGTCCAAAGTCCTCTTTTCTGATGAGAGCAACTTTTGCATCTCATTTGGAAACCAAGAACCCAGAGTATGGAGGAAGAATGGAGAGGCACACACTGCAAGATGCTTGAAGTCCAGTGTGAAGTTTCCACAGTCTGTGTTGATTTGGGGAGCCATGTCCCATGTTGGTGTTGGTCCATGTGCTTCATTAAGTCCATGGTCTTCCATAACACATCAGCAGTGCCTCAGGCTGATAGCTTCCATGTCACGGTGCATTGAGCCAGTAATTGCTGCAAAAGGGGCCCAAACCAAGTACTGAGTACATATGCATGCTTATACTTTTCAGAGGTTTACTATTGTTCTATCTACAATCCTTGTTTTATTGATTGCATTTAATATTCTAATTTTCTGAGATGGTAGATTTGGGGTTTTCATGAACTGTAAGCCATAATCATCACAATTATGACAAATCATGGCTTGAACTATCTTGCTTTGCATGTAATGAGTCTATCTCATATATTAGTTTCACCTTTTAAGTTGCATTACTGAAATAAATGAACTTTTGCACATATTCTAATTTTTCGAGTTTCACCTGTAGATACAGAGTAAAGCACTAGTCACATTAGTAGAATGTCATCATGTACTTTAAGAACTATATTTTATATATTGAGGCTGCAGTCTTGTGATTACATTCTTGGGAGTAACTTTCATTGAACACAATATTTTAGTAATGTATAAATAGTATTATTGGCATGTCTTCATGATAAGAGTAAAACAGTTATGATTTTTTTTAATGGTGAAGGTTTTCTCTCTCTTTTTAAAATTATTATTCCCATGCACTTAAAAATCATGTAGGTTAAATTGTTGAGAGTTTTAAGCCAGTTCCCACTGTTCTTAACAGGACTAAAACTCATATTTCTTTTATTCACTTCTTGAGTTCAGCAGACAAACTAAGTATGTATTAAGTTGAAATCATAAATACTGACACTATTTCTAGGCTGATAATAAAACAATAATATAGCTAGAGCTTCAAAATAACAGTCTCCTTCCTTGTTGGCTATTTCAACTAATAGAATAACACAACCTTTTAAATAATCTATTGATAGCCCATAAAAATCTACATGGTAGAAGTTGATATATAATATACCAGTTTAAATCCAGTGGTTACTGTTTACTAAAGAAATTATTCAAGTTTAAAACTGTTTAATATGCAATTCTGGCTGTTTCTAAGTGAGCCAGAAATTTCTAAAATGCTTAAAGCAGTAGAGTGCAGCTTTCATGGGCATTGCAGTCCATCTATTTTGAAAATATCAAAACATTCCTTTAAATATATATATTAAAACTTTGTGTATTTTAAGAAAATATTCAAAATGTAACCAGAATTTATTCTACATTTATTTTAGGAAATAATTTGGCTCCCCAAATGCTGTTTACATAAATATTAAGCGTTTCAAGTTTGCAAAAGCATGTCTAGGTAGAAATTTGCAACTACATATACTTTTAAATTTTTTTGATGTGTAACTTAAGAGTAATAGCTGGCATTATTCCATTCTGGATCCAAATACATATCTTGAAACAGATTTTCAAGATAGGTGGGTGTATTTCCTGGAGAGTAAATCTCTAAACAAATAACCCTTAAGAGAAAAACTGGTTTTATTACATTTCTGCTACTATACCAGTTCTTGTACCCAGATATTCAGCGATTATGTTGCGAGGGTCTGCTGTACTGCAGTGTTAAGTGAGATGTGCAGAAGATTATGAAAGATGAATAAGTCCTCATTTAGTGCCAGGATTCATGTTGCTCCATAGGCTTTTCATAGATTCAACCAGCCAAGCCATATTTCTCCCCCAAAGCTCCATTTTGAGTGGAAGGTTTTCATAGATTGTCTCTGCTTTTTTGATACCTTTTGTAAAATTCCATGATCATGTTATTTATTGAGGAACTTGAGCTGACCACACAGTGCTGTTGCAGTGTTACACAATGTAGACATAGAAAGATATTGATGCGGAATGGATGATTTTGATTGACTGAAGGGAAGAAAAATACCTAATGGAATCATTGCTCATCAAAATAGTTTACCTTTATATCTTGTCACTTAATTGTTTTAACTAATGATAAAACACTAAGTGGAAATCCCAAATAACAGAATTAGGCACAAACTAGTAGCTCATAGCTTGACATTATTTGAACGGTATGCATCAGTCCTAGATCTTCTGAATGATATTTGTTCACAATATTAACAAGTCAAATTAGCACAGATTCTGAAAATTAGGCATAGTGTGTGAAATCTTCTGAAGCTTCTGTAGCTGTTTTTGTATCAGACTATGCTATCAAGTCCTGTGAGCCTATTAATTGTAAGCATTCCTACTCAACATACTCAACATTTTGAGGACTGCTTTAAAGAAGGGTTCTTTTACTTCAGAATAAAATTTTATTTCTTTGTGTAAAGTACTAATTGCTGCTACTGGTTTTTTAAAATGACAAATATTGTAAAAAAAATATGCATGAAAAGTGACTGTGGAGAGCCTTTGCATACACAGCTGCAAAATATTTTAAGAGAATGTTATGTTTTGTGTCCTTATTCTGGTGTAATTTTGAAATTTTAAAGCACACTTAAATTCTGAAATTTCTCATTTGCAATTACTTTGCTTGCTGTAGACTTTTGTCAGTATGCTCCACCTGAATATCAAAAGTGAGACAAGTTCATTTGTCAATAGTTAGAAGCCAACAAGGAAAACATCTGATTCTTAAGCTGAAACTTGTTATTGGAAAAATATTTTCATACATACAAAAATAATTTTCTAATAATACAGCATTGTTAACTTACAAACTAATAAATATTTTATTAGCATTTATTGTAATTAGGATGGAAGTCAGTGCAAGGTTTTAAGGTAGAAAGCTGGTTGGTGGAAGGGGAGGGAGAAGACCAGTGAAAACATTGTGTATTTGAAGGAAATATCTGGGGAATATGTAAATTGAATTTATAGCTGATGGTTTTGATAATTAGTGTCTATTTCAATAAAGTACCAAAAGCAAATATGAGTGAGTTCTACAAATATTAGTTAAAAAATTCTACAAGTAGACTGGATGCAAACATGCTTCTTTAAATTGCTGCTTTGAAGGATGACTTATGATGAACACGTAATACATGTTTTAATTTCTCTAACCAATGCTGCTAATGTAGTTTTGCTATCAAAAATAAGATGTTAATGTAAGTATAATGGATGAGACGCTTCTCAAAGCTTATAACAAAAGACTTTGAAGTAGTAATTGTTGGGAGAAAACTATTCTTCTTGGTAGCACAATATGTTAATTTTGTTTAATATTGGGTAAAATGTTCTTTAAAAATGATTAAAAGAATTTGAGTTTTGGATTCGTTGAAAGAATATAAAGTGCTTCTACACATACAGTGTGTATTATTCATCAAGATTAATGTTAGAATAAGTAGATGAACTTGTCTACCTTGGTATAATGTTTTTAAAGGTAGGAGAATGGAGTGATACTTAGTAAGTACTAGCAAATATATAATTGCTAATCTGTGATTTACTGCAAGAAATTAATATTCATTAGAAGAAGCCATAATGGTGTCTATGCACATGCTTCTGTTCATTTTTTTATATTGAACTGAGAAGTTTCCTATGGCAGGAAAAAACAAATGTTATATTTGTGTGGTAAAACCAGAAGACATAGAGTCAAGAATGAAGTTGAAAAAGGAAAGAGGATTGAATATAAAATGAGTACAATATATTGGCATGGTCTTTGAATGAGAATCTGTTCAAACAAGAAGATGATATGAGCCTCTTTACTTCTTTCTTTTTGAGGATAAAAAGTGTTAAAAAGAATAAGACATAAGAATTAGTGTACTATATGGGTGTGATGGAAGAGTTATGGTTAGGGTAAGGTTGCATGGATGTATGTGGAAACGTGAAAACACGTTCTATTCAAATCTCTCATAAAAAAATCTTACAATTAAGACTGTACTATTATAAAAGATAGCCTTTAATACATTTAAGAGCAGCTTATCCAACCTTTCTACTATTCATTTGTGTTAAAACACAAATTACAAATGTGTGATTTAAAAAAATATCTGGAAATTATAATGCTATCTGCTTGTGTAATATACAGTAAATCATTTTAAAAAATCATTTTTTAAAAAAAAGAATATCATTCCTTTAATGACAAGTTTGTAGCAACCCCAAACAGCATAGCTATGCCCCAATCTTTTACAAAATGAAATGCTATTTTGTAACATTTATTACTTCTGGAATACATGGAAGAGAGCAAAAATGAAAACAGTGATATTAGGATCTGCATAACTAAAATGATAGAATTATTTTCTAACGAAATTAAACAACGTTGTTTCTTAGGAATTTTCTTAGGAATTATGTTCTTCAATGGCCCTTCCTTGAACCACGTATGTCGCCTTGTATTTTAATTATTCAGTAAGAAAATGATTTCTCCAGTGAAGAAGAAATAGCTATTAGAAATCATTGTGGGAATCACTGCTCACCAACTTCTGGTCATCGGAAACCTGTTTTTAAAAAAAGGTTATAATCATTTATAACAATAAGCAATAGCACTTAGACTTATATACTGCTTTACAATGCTTTACAGTCCTCTCTAAGTGGTTTACCGAATCAGCATATTGTCCTCAACAATCTGAGTCCTCATTTTACCCACATCGGAAGGATGGAATGCTGAGTCAACCTTAAGCCTGATGAGACTCGAACTGCCAAATTGCAGGTAGCAGAAGTAGCCTGCAGTACTACATTCTAACCACCACAGCTCTATTATTTATGAATAATCCTCTAAAAATTTGTTGCCAAAGTAGTTAGCAATATATTATAAATGAGCAGAGGGCTTACTTTCACTCTACTTTCAATTAGTGCTTTCAAAGACCTGATAAAGCAGTTACTTTCTTTAAAAGAAGGCTGGAAAGGGGCCAGATGTAAATGCCTCATGTCCATGGAGCCATTGCTGAGAGATCCCTATTTCTAGTAGACTGCAGAGCAGGGTGATTTGAAAGCCATTATTCAGACAGGAAACGTTATTGAACAGGAAACACTACTAAGACATTGAAGGTTCTGTTAATCAACAACTGTAAAGTTTGGCTCTGGTCTGGATAGAGAGTTGATAACATAGTTAGCATTTCAGGCTGTAGACTGGATTAGATTGTAGATTAGTTGCAGAGGACATACTTGAGATGCAGACTCTCAAAGAGGATGGTTGGGTTCAAACATTGCACCAAATATAATGTGAGGGAGTTTTGCTTTGATCCTTAAACAAGTTATTTTGACTTGGGCACCCTGCTTTGACCACCTGCCCTGCCTGCGAAGTGCAAAGGTGCAGATGGTATTTCTGTGAAATTTCCTTCCAGAAACTTAAGTCAATCTTGAGCCAACCCTAAAAAGCATAGTCCTACCCAGACAGGGTGCGGCTGTAGGGAAAGCTGTATTGCCCTTCTCTTGGTGTGTTGTTTGAATCCAGAGATCAGAATTTTCTGATGGGTTTTCTATTTAAAATATATATTGAAAGCTAAATGGCCGAGATAGGTGCTTAAGACTATCTTCGATGTTGTCACAGATAGAGTTGTGGTGTGTGAGTATGTATTATCTTATGGCCCCAATCCATGCTAATTCAAAGGGGATAACAAAAAGGAATAAAATACAAAAACACCCCCATACTATGTGCTGATAGTTCTGTTACTAAAAGAAGATAAAACCATGTGGTCAGTTAAGTAGAAGCCATAATATTTTGTTCTATAATCCAAATTCTTGCTTCTGACATATTTGGAAGAAAATCCTATCCCCTCAGTATAAAAACTTACCAAAAATGGATCATAAGGAGGATCTGATGGAGGAGCTGATGAGTTTTCATAATTGGGATTTGAGATGTTGCTTGATGGTGCTTTGTCCAATGTAGTTACATCAATATCATCTTTTTCCTATGTGATATTTTTGAAAGAATAGTTTATGTTCAGAAAATCATTACAAAGAAAGCCACTTTGGTGTAGTACTTAAAGGCATTGAGGTAGGAAATCAAGAGACCATGAATGCTAATCCTGCCTTTGGCTTAAACCAGATGGGTGACGTATTCGATCTCAGTCAGAGGAAGAAGGCAATGGGAAGCCATTTCCAAAAAGGGCCAACCAGTTGGCAGGAGTCAAGATGAATTGAGGACATGAAAAAGCAGAGCAAATAGTGAAGTCAGAACTGTTGGTTGTATTTATAAGTTATTTAAATACTAAGGTTTCATTATCGTAATGCATTAAACCAGTGGTTTTCAACCTGTGGTTTCCGAACCACTGGAGGGCATGAAGGCTTGAAGAAATGTTATGAGTTAAATCTTGAATTAAGTCTTGGTGCTCAGTGCCATGGTCCATGGCCACAAAAGGTATTTAAAGGGGGTCCGTGGTGAACAAAAGGTTGAGAATCATTGTGTTAAACTAAGCCTCATGTACTTCTATATCCCTTGCTTGTCCTCTTCTAGATTACCGTATTTTTCAGACTATAAGACACACTGGTGTATAAGACGCAGCAAGATGTCAAAGAGGTAAATAAAAAATGTTTTTTTTCTTCCCTGGCCCCCAGGAGCCCTCAGCAGGCTTCAGCAGGGTTGGGGGAAGGCAAAAACACCCCCATTTTTGTGAAAAATGGATGGAAAATGGGCCATTTTCTGCAAAAACTGGGGCATTTTTGCCTTTCTCCAGCCCCACTGAAGCCTGCAGAGTGCTTCTGGGGGCTGGGGGGGGGAGAGACAAAAAACGGCCCATTTTTGTAAAAATGGGATGCGGGGGCGGGGCTTCGGGAGGCCAAAAATGGCTGTATTCAATGTATAAGACCAACATTTCCATGTTCTTTTGGGAGGGGGGAAAGGTATGTCTTATTCTCCAAAAATATGGTATATTCCATCTTGACTGAAGCGTTGGATCTATTCTGGTTAGGATTAGGGTTATTGTTATTCAGAAATTGCAAGAGGTTCATCACTGGAAGCTTTCAAGGAGAGACTGGACTGTCAGAAATGGTATAGGGTCCCTTGCTTGAGCAGGGGGTTGGACTAGATCAGTGTTTTTCAACCACTGTGCCGCGGCACACTAGTGTGCCGTGACATAGTGTAAGGTGTGCCGTGGGA